TTTGTGGACACAAGAGAAGGGTACTGGGAGGCAGACAAAAGCCTGTGAAGCAAATAAAGCGAAAGACATGAACGTCAACCAATTGGAACACGCAGTCAATTGAAATTTGACGGGCGCCAGAATGAACTCGGTTACCGGTAAGACCGGTGCAGGTGCGGTGTACACGTTCGGTTGACGCAAGTATGAGGTTAGCAACGTCGAACAGTCACACATGGCGACGTGATAGGGAGCGGTACTGGGTGGGTGTATAGAACACTAGGACTATCGTGGAGGAGATTTGGTTGAAGGCAGAATCGTGCGTGTTGTTTGGTTACACGTGAAGTGCTTGTTTTCCGTATATCACTGGGTAGCCTTCCGCCGCGCAGGTTGACCAGCTGTGTTGGAATCCTCTTTTTGTTCCCCTTCAGTTGCTTGTTTAGCATTTGATGGGTCGGGGAGAGCCGCTTGCCGACCCGGAGCACCCGCACCATCCTCGATTGCGCCAGCGGCATTGGATGAACCGGCGGCACCACGCTGTTTGAGCATTGTCCAATCAAAAACATAATCAAACTGATGGCTCATGGTGCGAAACAGAATTCGGAAAAGCTGTCGAAGATACATGTAATCCGGATTTTCATCAAATCGCAAACCCCGACAGTAGTTGAGATACAATTGAAATTCGGACGGGAAACCCTTGCACAGTAACTCCACTGGGGTAGCCATCTTCTTCTCGCTTATTCTTTCATATTTCTGACGTTTGGTCGTGGCCTTGAAAAGCACAGATATAAAAAAACGTTTTAGTTGGTGAAAAACTAGTAGAATTAACTGAAAGAGCTAAAAACCCAACTTAATGACAATTTCTTTGGAAGGATTATTAAACATTGCATAAGCAAGCTCACTTTGCAGTCAGTTCACAAGCTGAACAATGATGATAACACCCGACAGCTCATTTCGGACTCAAACAAGCCCAAGAGACAGCTGTTTGTGCACGGAATATAAACGAGCACGATGAAACCCACCGGTGAAGATCAGATGCGAAGAAATCATCCATAAGACATTTAAAGTACATTTAAGAGGTTGACGTTGGAGACTCATCGAAGGTCCATGAAACCAATATACCATTGAACAATGTTTAAACCGCAACGCTAGGTTCCCTGTTCCCCATCCGTGCCGTGTCTCTGGTGAAAATCATCGTTCAGCAAAGTAAATAAGTCTTTAATATATTGCCAACGCACAGGGTAAAGTGAGTTTCGTCCATAGCCGTTAACCGTAATCACATCCATAGAATGCTGTAAGACGATCAACAGATGGCAGCGCAAACGTATTAATGTATATGCGCGCTGATGAGGAATGACAATAGCGTCATCGTCATCCGTTGGCAGTTATACCCGTCAGTGTCTTCGTCCAACGGGTAGCCTGGTCCTAAAACCCTAATTCGAAAAAGGAACACGAAACACTCCGTCAATCTGATTTGCAATGCACCCCCCTAGGTTTCACCTCCCAAGCGATTAATAACTTTCATTTATCTCCCTTTACCAATTCTAAATCTGAAACAAATTACCTCGAATACTATTCGCTCCCAAATGCATAAATCTTCTGGCACGCATAGTTTGTCTCTATCCTGTTTCATGTATGGTAGTTCAGCCTTGATCTTGTAGTTAACGCAACTCACGAATTAGCATTGAAAAAGTGACCAAGCTCCGTGAGTATTGTGAATGGGTTACTTTGCCCATAGAGTAGGAGATAGATAATGCGGTGAAAAATAATTAATCAGCTGGATGAACATTGCCAGCATAATGCTTCGTCCATTGCCGCAAACCAGCAGTGCCGGTGCAATAACCAAATTAGTATTAAACCCAATCGAGACCAAACTGATTATCGTTTCATCCTTGAAATTCTCGATCAGACATTCTTCTGTCTAACGTATCATTTTTACCTTTACCGGTTTGCAAGTGGCCTTTGAATAAGTTTAGCATATCGTACTATGCAACCTATTCATTGCAGGTGCTACATCCACGGTAAACAAATGGTGGAAGCCGCATATGAGCTCAAGATTGTTCCCATCGAGCTCCCCATGGAAGGAAGTGAGTGGGAAAGATTGCATATGTCACTAAATAAATTTCCCCGGAGTTGTTTCCTGGACGCGTTAGTTATGGTGTTCACGACTGGAGATGGTATCATCATCGTACAGCGAAATACATTGAGTTCCACTGATCGCAGCCAAACTCGCGATGCATACAAGGTTAGCGGTAATTTGTAGGGTGGACAGGGACTGGACCTATTCTGAGGGAGGGAGAAGAATGTGAACCTCTGCGGTCAACAGAGTACGCAATTTAACTCTGCATACCTAACTTTTCAAGCATCCTGGCCCGAAAAGAAATGGCAACAAGAACGCCACTGCTCTCGGTTCGCTGCCATAACCCCAATGTCTCCAACCAACCAGTTGCAGCTGCTTAGGTAGCTGCGTGGCCAAAGACGGTAACGCATCAAATGGGATAACCGACCGCATTCCCTTTCGAGCAGCGTACACAGGACTTAACCACCTGTGACGGTGATGTAACGTTTCACTGAAGTATACTGCGCCACTGGACCATGAGTTCTGCTGTACGGTTGTGAAACCTTGAATATGCGGGTAGAAGGTATCTGTCGTGTGGTGGTTTTCGACAATCGATGCTTACGTAATCTGGCCCAAGTGGGATGGAGTGAGTGGGTGTTTGGGAATATATCAAACAAGATCTCGCTGTCGCATCGAATCCACGTAAATTGGCTCCGGTGGTTAGGACACGTTTTGTGTATGTCCGACGGTCGCCTACCGCAAGACAGTGGCTGTTGCAGGCTGGAGGAGGCCACGCGGAGGCCAGTAGATGATGTGGAGACGAACATGAAAAAATGCACATAGCGATTAGGTAGTGTCTCTCGGCTTCCGGGTTGGGGTCCAAAAGACTCCGTAACCACATGGTTGGAGACACTGAAGATCATGGGTGCGAACCAACAGCAATGGCGATCTTGCTGTCACTTCTTATCAGACCAGAACGCTTGAAATATTATGCATGCACGGTTGGACTGTGTACTCCGTATTGACCATAGAGGTTCGCTTTCTTTTCCCGTCCCTAAAAGTAAGTCCAATCTCTATCCTCCATACACATACCCACTTATCTTTTAAGCAATGAGTCCGGCAACGATCAGTGAAGTTCGCCTCACTGTATTGCGCTGTACAATGATGATGACGAAGGTCATTTGCAGTCTTTCGGACCAAAACCTGGGAGACGCGAGACACCTACCCTATCTAATCACTGTGCATTCTTTACGTGGTTTCCACCAGCCCGGAGGCTGCAGTGAATAAAGCGCGGTGCAGCAGAAGACAGCTGGGCATGCACGATACGTGCACCAGCCAGCGAAGTCTACTTAGCCGAATTCGATGTGCTAGCAGGTTTATCCATGATAGACTCCCAAACACTCGACGGCTTACCTCCAGATTACTAACCCGTTCGTACGATTCCATGTGGGCCTTACTACGCAAACACCGGTAATCGAAAACCTCTAGTCGATGGATATCTACTCGCAAATCCAAGGTCTTACGACCACAAAGCAGAACTGAAGGAACGCTAGCGAAATATACGCGACCTTCGAACTTCAGTGAAACATCGCGTCTACGCCAATGGTGCTTCAGTCCTGCGTATGCTGCTCGAGCCTTGGAAATGCGGGTGTTTCTCTTTTGCTGCGCTGTTAAGCAACTACCCAAGATATTGAGGTTCATTTATCTGACTGCTCACAACTATAGGGCGAATTATGAAATGCTAAAATCATATACATGAGCTACAGCGCACCTGTTTCAGGCACCGATAAACTTTCTGGAATTCTATGATAATTCTATGATAAGCTCAAAGCAACCAAAGGGTTGCAGACCTAAAAATACTCCTCGGATCATTATCATCATCATTGTACAGCGTAATACAGTGAGGCGAACTTCACTCATCCCAGCCGATAATCAGATCTCACGGTACCTCGGGGCGGTCAAGGTCGTCATGACAACTACCTGGAGGTCCTGAACATGAATTTCACTCTGGTCACCTGTCTTCTTAGCGTTTTCCCAGGCAGCCTTTCGTTAGCAATAGCTCCTTTTCTGAACGCCGACCGTACATTTGCATGTGCAGTCAACAAAACCATTGCGATGAAACTGCACCTCGACGTTGTGTGATGGCTTGCGTGCCTCTATGACCCTGCAAGCGATACAGAACGGCTGCTCACAGCCGAAGATCCAACCATACCTGAAAGATCAATGGCTCTTTAAACTCCTCGCTGATATTATACTCCGTCGATTGTCTGTCGTACATGGACAGAGCACACGTGATGACCAGGCTGGTTTTGTACCTGGTTGTATAGGCCACACCTTCACCATTCTAGAACGCAAACACTCCTTTCGAGGACCCGTCGTTTTCATCTCCCTCGATCTGAAAGAGGTTTTTAACTCAGTCGACCGCTCTATACTCTGACACTGCCTTTCCCTCAGAAGTGTGCCAGAGAAAAATTAAAAAAATGGAGTCAAGAAACAGCAAAAACAACATAAACTTCCAAGGTACCAACAGCGAGACTTGCTTTGACATTCTGGTATGTCTTATTCGTGAAGCAAACGATTATTTTCGAATTAGTGGCGAGCAGCCTATGGCCCAAAGAAAAGCACGTGACCAGCATAACCTGAGGCCGAAAAGAACTATAACCTGTCATAACCTCGAAAGAACCTGATTAATTTCAGAAATTAAGCTTAAAGTTAGGCATGCAATCATCTTTTGGGACCCATTTCAATTCAAAATGTTACTTATCCTTTGAAGAATTGCCAAACGTTAATTTGAGATAGATGATTGTTTATTAAATAGTTAGCTCACGGAGAACATTAAAGGCGATTTTTATTTCAAGTTGTGATGCGATATAAAGCACAAGTACGTGTGCATCTGGTGACTTACCCGAAGACCTTGCCAAGGAAGACTTCCACGATTGAAATACATCAATACGTAGCCCAAGGATTCCAAATCATCTCTTCGGGATTGTTCAATTCCTAAATGAGCGTTGACACTGGCGTATCGAGCAGTGCCGGTGAGGTTTTTCTTTTCCCTTTAGTTGACGTTAAATGAGTGCAATAAGAATACATACTTATAATCGATGTGGCATCCGTTTCTTGGATCTCTGTATCGCTTGGCAAGTCCAAAGTCGATTATATACACCTTATTACAGTGGCGTCCGATGCCCATTAGGAAGTTGTCGGGTTTGATATCTCGATGAATGAGACCTTTGTTATGTACATGTTCTATCCGAGCAAGCATCTGGTCTGCTAACATAAGCACAGTTTTGAGTGTAAATCGCCGACAGCAAAATGTGAACAGGTCCTCCAAACTTGGACCGAGCAAGTCCATTACAAGCACCCAGTACGTCCGGGAGGAGCCATACCATCTATGATTACAAGGTTATTGGAAAGAAGGATGCGTACTTCGCCTGAGGTATTCCGACCGCTCCAGCCAATAAACGGTAAACCTTGTGCTCGAACTGAAGTTGAGGGTGTCTGGAATAAATATTTTCCATCTTCACGGCAACTTCCTGTAAAGCAAGCGGATAGAGAGAGTCGATTCCGGAAAATTATATCACAAAAATATAACTCTTTTCATTTCACGTGCAGGTTATATCGGTCAAGACAACAAACTTAAGAGCTTTTCTAATGGTGGAATGGAAATCTATCTTCTAACCATTTGGTAATCTCGCCAAAAGCATTCTTGTACGTTTATAACGATCACATATCATAACACAAAGTGGAAGGTGGACTGTTTTCAAACCCTTATCGCAGAGTACCATGAATCCAAATTTACTGCCAAGCTAAGTACGTGAGGTTCCGCGGGAGCAGGCTTGTGTTCGGAAAGGAAGATGTAAGCCACTGTAATCAACACATGGCACATAGTCTAAATAAGCAGACTTCTTTTCGAGCATTTCGGTGAGTAGAAACAATAAGAACGCCACTGGTGTTGCTACCACGTCCTTCAGCGACTTTGGATCCAAGATCGGAAGACGGGAAACACCAACTCTGTTCACTCTGGTTGTACTATTCCTCATAGTTTGTCTCTGTNAATCTGATTCGTGTGACAAAGAATTTTAATTGAAACACCCAAACACACGATGGCCTACCTGTATCTTGCGAACCCGTTCCCTTCATCCTCTGTGTCAATTCAGATAACAACCAGCCGTTGAACATTTCCAGACAAGTCTTGTCGCTCAAACCATAACGTAAGACCCCAACCGTGCACCCGCAATGAAGGAGAGTATTGGTTCTCGAATAAGATTAGCGTCTCTGCGCTGGTAGACTCGTATTTCTGAGGTCTTCTACCTTTTTGATCAGCACTACTTGCCAAACTTTCACTTGTCTTCTAGAATAAGAACATCCGCGGCTACACCCCAATACGCCGCTCGGCAGATGGGTAGTAGGTAGCCCTAGATACTTAAACCCTGGGCTAGTGGTATGGTACGCAAAGATCTACTGCCTGCCCAAACGCGTAAAGAAAATCTACCAAACTAGCAGGGATGAATGAGCACTAGTTGAGCGGTCACGCTGTTCAATGAAGAACCGGTAACCACGACAGGCCGACCACCAAGAAGCGATACTCCTATCAGATACTAAGACATTATTGTTAACTTCCCCTTCCCCAAACGCATGTATTGCCCACGTCCTTTAAAGTAGTGAATGTGTGCCGCATACGCCGTGTAAGATGTGAACGAGTTATTGCGATTGGTCTAAACATTGTTTTCTGTAACACCGTAGTTACAGATAAAAGTACACATGCTGTTTGTGAAAACTATCGACAGAACTGAATTGTATGAACTGTTGTAGGTGAAATTCACTTCACCTATCAGAACCAAGGGGTCCTTGAGGGGTGATGTTTATAGCCCCTGGAGTACATGAGCCGAAACTCTCGATATCAAAGTAATAGCTTATAACAGACTCATCAAACCAAATGGAACACCGTAAAATAAAGCCGTAAACCGGTACCCATTCCGGCATGTGGGCTGTAGCGTAGTTTTGTAGTATGCGATTAATTTACGCTGGAGTCAACTGTACGAAATATGCTCAATAATGACCTCCAGAAAGGTTTGGCGTTTCTGTGCTGAGTTGCTCGTTGAACCTTTTGGTAGCATTGGTTCAGTTTCAGCTTCAGTTTGTACATTAACCATCGAAGAGAAAATTGAAAAGTTCGGGGGACTAATGATACAGAGAAATTGAGAAGATGCACGAACGCCACTGTTTACAACACCCAGCCATTTCACTCAGTGTCTCTAACCATCAGGTACGATCATCCCGAGGTACCCATCCAGGGAGCCTAACGGGGCCTGTGTGACCCAGATCCCTGGTTAGGGTTTTCATACCCGCATACCAGGTCTTAGCTTGACCACCCTGGGCTTTACTCCACCCACTACCTGCCTCGGCAAACATCGCTCGTGGTGGCAACCTATCTGGTGACATGCGTAACACATGCCCCAACCAACGTAATCTATGGAGATCGACCACTTGCTCTAATGGGCGACCGCGGTTGCCTGACCTCAGCATTGCTCGTCCGGCTGCCCCACCAGATTCGTGCAATGCTGCGTAGACAGCAACGTCATGTTTTCTTAATGGCCACGTTTCTGCTCCATATAGCAGAACTGGCCGAACTACTGCAGCTTATACTCGACCGTTCACAGACAGCCGGACGTCGCGACGGCGCCACATATGTCTCAAGTTCGTAAATGCCAACCGAGCCTTCTGTATGCGAGTTGACACTTCATCCGTGACGCATCCACTGGGTGAAATGTAGCTGCCCAAGTACCAGCCTCTCCATTTGCTCTATCAATTCCCCATTTAGGATGAGGCTGGGTGTAGGACAACCCAGTCTTGTAGTAGCATTTTACACTTTGAAGGTGCAAAACGCATACCGAACATGGATACACTAGCACTTTCCAGAAAAGCTTGCAAATTACCTGGATCTTCACTTAGTAGCACAATGTCGTCTGCATACTCTAGATCAGACAGCCTGCCACCTGGGAGTAAATCGATGCCACTATCCTCGCATGAGGATAGGGCTGTTTCCATTGGTCCAACCAAGATGGTAACTGACAGTTTGGTTCAGGTGCCACCTCCGAACAACCCCATTGACTTGATGGAATGTAGGGATTGGTGATAGTTTAATTAGTGGGTCACATTCACACTTCCGACTTGTCGCTTGTCACTTGACCGCGGCTGCCAATCAAGTAAGCCCGAACCCGCTTCATCCATACACCCGTGCTTATTTTCTACACATTGTAAGCTTGGAAAAGAACGAGTGATAACGCCGATAGACGACCGTGAATGACATTAAATAAGCTGACCAGACCGCACGAATGCCGCATGAGTGATGGCGGTGCAGTAGTTTAGCCGCTATCACCGGCGTGCTTTGAACCCCATGGACCGAGGTTCAAGCCCCGCCACCGCCAAACGACTTTGGTGGCAGGCAGCTC